GCGTGACTTTACAATTTTATGAAATTAAAGGCTTCTTACTACATACTATCGTTAGAAACACTTTAAAATTTATTTGACTTACCAGAAAAAAAAATTTGTTGAAATTCATCAGTGTCAAGTTTTTAATTTGGCTGAGTGTATATGCATCATAACTCCAAAAATGTTGACTGTGGAAACACAAAATAACAATTTATTAGTTGAGTTTAAGAAGCCTCACTGATTTGGGCCCAAACCGGAGGTTCACGAGAGATAACTCGTTTATGTGATTTTTGTTGACAAGAAACTATGTATACTTTCGTTGCAATTTGTAGTAATGTATTGTAATTAGTGATTGATTACTAGTTTATTAAAACAGTAATTATATGCATGAAACATATTATGGTATATATAGTGCAATAAACAATTCATTATTATAGCTATATTTATTTATTTATAAATGCAAATTGTGTCGATTGTCACTTTCGGTCATTGACATCATAACTTGTTTTGAAATAAATAAATGAAATCGAATTTAAATAATTAAGTATCGCTGACAATTATTTGTCTCTGCTCAGAGTACTCTCATGTTATGATAGTTTGTGTTGTGATTGTATCTGATTTGTCACCTTTTACAATTATGACAATATTTAAATTTAATATGATCCGTAAATCTGATATTTTGATCATTAAAGGGAGATTACTCGACATATGTGGAGAAAATCTTGTAACTCGTCAAATTTGAGATGTTTTAAAACAGTTTATGTGTAAAACCTTTTGTAATTCATCAAAAAGCTTCTTTTATCAGTATTTCAGTCCTAATTTTAACTTACAATATTATTTGACCAAATCCATACACCGGAATTTATTTACAATCACCGGAATTCACTTACGATCACCGGAATTCACTTTGAAGATATCAGAATTCGCCCATAAAATCTTCCTATTTACTTATATTTTCCATTAATATTCAATTATTTTAAAACACATAAAATCACCAGAATTCACATTGAAAACATATAAACACCGGAATTCACTTTTAACATATCGGAATTCGAAATTTAGAGACCTTCGTATTTACTAATATTTTACATTAATAATAAATTACTTTAAATCACTGGGATTCACTTTGAAAACATATAAACATCGGAATTCACGTTCAACATATCGGAAATCGTACTTAAGACCTTCGTATTTACTAATATTTTACATTAATAATAAATTACTTTAAACCACCGGAATTCACTTTGAGAAAATCGGACATTGAAAACATATAAACACCGGAATTCACTTTGAAAACATATCAACATATCGGAATTCACACTTAAGACCTTCGTATTTACTAATATTTTACATTAATAATAAATTACTTTAAACCACCGCAATGACCAGAATTCACATTGAAAACATAAACACCGGAATTCACTTTCAAAATATCGGAATTCACACTTCAGACCTTCGTACTTACAAATATTTTACACTAATAATAAATTAATTTAAAACACCGGAATTCACTTACAAAATATCTGAATTTAAGACCTTCGCATTTACAAATATTTTACATTAATAATAAATTACTTTAAAACACCGGAAATCACTTTGAGAAAATCGGAATTGTATTTACTTTTTTTTGCATTAATATTAAACTAGAATGTATCTGCTGTAAAATGATATTTCCAGATGGTCAACTCAGGGAAACACAATATGATAAGAACACAGCAGTAATCCATGTAAAATGTCAAACCTAACTTCTTGAATGTGGAGCAAAACTTTCTCAGTGTAGATGAGCTAAGTTTATTCGTTCTTAGTGTTTAACGTCCGCTTCCACCGAAGGTACAAGTCTGAAGGTGATATTTCGCAGACAAGTCTTATTTTTTTTTTTTTTATTATTATCTTGGCGCACGTGCAGGATCTTTCCTGTGGGAGGAAACCGGAGTAAACCCACGAGGTTGAGAAGGCGCTCCTATCTCCAAGCCACATACGCTCACACCAGGAATCGAAACCACAGCCGCAACCCAGAGGTGACTGACCAGCTAGAGGTCGAAATGCGGCACTCTAGACCACTGCCACACCCCAAGTTTATTCGAAATTTAGCTTGGTAATAATAAGCCAATCAAATAAAGTCTATCAATAATGGTTTGGATGTTTTCACAGATAATCCGTTCTAGCCTGAAGCAGTCCAGATTAAATAAAGTGTAAGTGTAATTGTGAGTTGTCTTGTGCCACTAACGAGACGCAAAAACACAGGGGTCACACAATTTCGGCTTAATCCTTACTGATTATTCCTTAAATCAACACTGACGTGTTTAGTAGTTATTTTAATAATTAATTTGCACTATATATGTCATAATATGTTTCATGCATATAATTACTGTTTTAATAAACTATAAATCAATCTCTAATTACAATACATTGCAATAAGTATGAATTTATTTTTTGTCAACAAAACTCACATACACGAGTTATCTCCCGTGAATTCAACTAAATTGTTATTTTGTGTTTCCACAGTCAACATTTTTGGAGTAATTGGGTGTTATTTTGGAGTTATTGGGTAATTCGACTCAAAATTGTTATTTTGGAGTTAGGCATATTGGGTAATTTGACTTACCCTGACGCGCCCTACGTTATCATAATCATGATGCATATATACTCTTCAAAGATAGGTTGCCAGGCAACGAAACATAAGCCCACAGCAGCTAATTCGTCCAAGCGGTCAACAAGGTTTGTTGCATATTTATTCCTTTGTAGGTAATTGGGGGCCTTTACAAGACAGTTCCATACAGATCAGATTATAATGTTTGCCGTTTGAGGGTTCTACAAACTGAAACAAGGGTCTCTACTCTGGAAGTAATCTTCAGAAATTGTTGAAATTTGACAGGCTTTTTTGTTTTACTAATTTAAATAATGCATATTAATTTCATACAGATTAGATGATCACTTTTGTCACAACCACCAAAATTCTAGAAATTATTGACGGAAATTGCTGAAATTCAATAGACCTCTGTTTCACAGATTTAAATGATGCATATAAATTTCCTACATACTGGATGATAACTTTCATCAATCGAGCATTAACAAGGTTGAACAAAGTGAAACAAGGGCCATATCTCTAGAAGTAATAAACGGAAATTGCTGAAATTCAATAGGATTCTTCTCTTTACTAATTTAAATGATGCATGCAAATTTCATACAGATCGGCAGATAACTTTTGATGTTAGAGCGTTCACAAGGTTCAATAAAGTGAAACAAGAGCCATAACTCTAGACCAAATAAACAGAAATTGCTGAAATTCAATAGGCTTCTTCGTTTCACTAATTTAAATAATGCATATAAATTTCAGAAAGATCGGATGATAACTTTTGGCGTTACAGCACTAACAGCAGTCACAATGTTCAATAAATTGAAACAAGGGCCTATTACGCTAGACGTAATAAACAGAAATTGCTGAAATTTAATAGGCTTCTTCATTTCACGAATTTAAATAATGCATATAAATTTCAGAAAGATAGGATGATAACTTTTGGCGTTAGAGCGTTCACAAGGTTAAACAAAGTGAAACAAGGGCCATAACTCTAGAAGTAATAAAGGGAAATTGCTGAAATTCAATAGGCTTCTACGTTTCTCTAATTTAATTATTGCATATAAATTTTACAAAGATCAGATGTTAACTTTTGGCATTAGAGCGTTCACAAGGTTCAACAAAGTGAAACAAGGGCCATAACTCCATTGTAAATTGCTGAAATTCAATAGGTTTTTTCGTTTCACTAATTTAAATGATGCATATCAATTTCAAACAGATCGGATGATAACTGTTGTCATTAGAGCGTTCACAAGATTCAACAAAGTGAAACAGGGGCCATAACTCTAGACGTAATAAATGGAAATTATTGAAATTAAATAGGATTCTTCATCTCACTAATGCAAACAACATATATCAATTTTAAAACAACTGGATGATAACTTTTGGTGTTAAAGCGTTCACAAGAAATTGTGGACGATGGACGGGGGCGACAGCAATATACATCCACATTTCTATGTGGGCGTATAAAAAAAGTAGGGGATATTCAGAAACAACACAAAACTGCGGAAATGCACTGCTGTTTGTATTAGAGGTAACCAGTGTATGTTAATAACAGGCCAATTGCCTACACATGAACAGTTCATATGGGTGGCTTATCTGACGGCCCCCATTTCACTTGCAAAGAGATACACCGTCAAAAGTGAAAATGAACGTTTTTGATTTTAGTCTTAATAATGAGTAATTGCTCCACCAATCCTCAGACATTCAGCAATTCGTCGTGACATGCAATTCTTGCAGTGTTGACGTTGACGTCGACGAACATGTCTCCCGATCAAATTAAACGTAACACACTAAAGCAAAGATACACTAAACAGTAAATCTTATGCAAGAACCGATAGGAATGCTAACATGGATAGATAAACCAGCACGTGGCAGTTTTCATCAACCCTTCCTTGAAGTGTCAAATTTGACAATGAACCCCTCCCACGTGTATGGTGCTATTGCGTGTCGCACATGCAGCTCAGTGCTTCTGTTTGGGTGATAAGTTCTTCATCTGTGAACATACTCTCAAAGCATGTCAAGTGTCCATGACTTTTTATCATACCATAACCTGCATACATGTTGGTATTTGCATTTCAATATCCCCTACTTTTTTTGAAGAGTATATTATAATGTATTATACATTTAAAATAAATTAGTTTTGTGGGAGGAATCGGAGATTTTCGAAGTGAATTCCAGTGATTGTAATGTAAATGAATTCCGGTGATTGTAAATGAATTCCGGTGATTGTAAATGAATTCCGGTGATTAGTCTACCCAAATTTTAGGGGGGGGGGGGGCGATGTTTGGGGTCCACCAAAAATGGGTACATTTGGGGGAAATTCTTGGCCCAATAGCTGCAGCATTAATCAAATGCATTGCATAAAGGTCACAGCACCATATTGGTTTTTGGCATTTTCTCAGTCATGAGCAGATTTTGGTTGAATAAACAAATACAACACATAATTGGATCAACTGTTTTATTGCAAACTCTTCCTGGACATCTTGATCAACTGCTATTAACATTGCAACTCTGTAAAATTAGAAATTAATAGTAATAAAAATTCAATTCAGTGTCATATTCATTAGGCTACTGTCGAGAAATCACCTTTTTCCAATTTCATTTCTGTATATTTCAATTTTTCCTGAATCGAGGAAGCTGGCATTTTCAGACATTCATCCTATATATATTATGAAAGAGATGTGACAATTGGAGGCTCCTAGCATTAATATTAAAGATCCCAGCCCATATATACCTTTTGTATCAAGCCGTCATCCGACAATGGAAAGAAATTTGGCAAATAAAAATGGTCGTATTGATATTGAAGCTAAAGGCCTCAAAGTTTAACAATGACTACATTATATGTGTAGGACGGTTGTAACAATCTTAAACTCCTAGCATCAATATTAAAGATTTGGAACTAGTTACTTCTGTTGTAGGAAAACTGAAATTGCTCTCATTTTCAATGCAATAGTCCCACGGAACGGCTTATTTTGCATAAAAAAACTTGCTTTTTCAGATCGAAAATGACATGTTTTCTTCATAAAATAGATGATAGGTTGCCAGGCAACAAAACATACGCCAACAGCAGTTAAATCGTCTGAGTGGTCGACAAGGGTTGTCACATATTTATTGCTTTGTAGGTAATTGGGGGCCTTTACAAGACAGTTCCATACAGATCAGATTATAATTTTTGTCGTTTGAGGGTTCACAAGGTTCTACAAACTGAAACAAGGGCCTCAACTCTGGAAGTAGTTTACAGAAATTGTGGCAATTTGACAGGGCTTTTTCGTTTTACTAATTTAAATAATGCATATAAATTTCATACAGATTGGATGATCACTTTTGTTATTCAAACGTTCACAAAGTAAAACAAGGGCCATAACTCTAGAAATTATTGACAGAAATTGCTGAACTTCAATAGACCTCTGTTTCACAAATTTAAATGATACATATAAATTTCATACATATCGGAAGATAACTTTCATCAATCGAGCATTAACAAGGTTGAACAATGTGAAACAAGGGCCATAACTCTAGAAGTAATTATTGTAAATTGCTGAAATTCAACAGGCTTTGTGGTTTTACTAATTTAAATAATGCATATAAATTTCACAAATTTCACAAAGATCGGATGATAACTTTTGGCGTTGGAGTGTTCACAAGGTTCAATAAAGTGAAAAGAACCATAATTCTAGACGTAATAAACAGAAATTGCTGAAATTCAGTAGGATTCTTTTTTTTACTAACTTCAATGGCACATATAAATTTCATACAGATCGGCAGATAACTTTAGAGGTTAGAACGTTCACAAAGTCCAACAAAGTGAAACAAGGGCCATAACTCTAGAAGTAATTATTGTAAATTGCTGAAATTCAACAGGCTTTGTGGTTTCACTAATTTAAATAATGCATATAAATTTCACAAAGATCAGACGATAACTTTCGGCGTGGACTTTTCACAAGGTTCAATAAAGTGAAAAGAACCATAATTCTAGACGTAATAAACAAAAATTGCTGAAATTCAATAGGATTCTTTTTTTTACTAACTTCAATGGCAAATATAAAATTTAATACAGATCGACAGATAACTTTAGAGGTAAGTCCAGATTTTACGAACCAGCGGCTGCCAGGCAGGATACGCCCACATTTTCGAGAGATGGATAGAAAACAAGCTAAAACGGAAGTGATTTTTCCTACAATCAAGGGCCATAATTCATGAAGTTACGGTCTGATATGCGCGAATATCGAAAGAAACCGAGATCTTTGTGTTATAAACTTACATTTCAAGTTTCAACAAAATCGGATAAAAATTGTGACCTCTATAGGGTCCACAACCTTGATATACCATATTTTTACGCTATTTGAGATGAAGGGCAGCCATTTTGTCTGTCAGTTTTGGGCCGATTTTCATGAAATTCGAACTCAACCGTCCTTAGGATGTAACGGTGATATAATAAAACGTTTTTTTAAATCGGATAAAAATTATGACCTCTATAGGGTCCACAATAAGGGGCCATAATTCATGAAGTTACGGTCCGATATGCGCAAATATCGAAAGGAACCGAGATCTTTGTGTTATAAACTTACATTTCAAGTTTCAACAAAATCAGATAACCAGCGGCTGCCAGGCAGGATACGCCCACATTTTCGAGAGATGGATAGAGAACAAGCTAAAAAGAAAGTGATTTTTCGTACAATCAGGGGCCATAATTCAGGAAGTTACAGTCCGATATGCGCGAACATCGAAAGGAACCAAGATCTTTGGGTTATAAACTTATATTTCAAGTTTCAACAAAATCGGATAAAAAATTCTGACCTCTTTAGGGTCCACAACCTTGAAATTTTGCCTGTCAGTTTTGGGCCGATTTTCACGAAATTCGAACTCAGCCGTCCTTGGGGTGTAACGGTGAAAGAATTATACGTTTTTTTAAATCAGATAAAAATTATGACCTCTATATGGTCCACAAGCTAAAAACGCGATTTTTCGTACAATCAGGGGCCATAATTCAGGAAGTTACGTTCCGATATGCGCGAATATCGAAAGGATCCGAGATCTTTAGGTTATAATCGTACATTTCAAGTTGAAACTAAATCGGATAAAAATTGTGACCTCTACAGTGTTCACAAGCTAAAAACGTGATTTTTCGTACAATCAGGGGCCATAATCCATGAAGTTACAGTCTGATACATGCCAATATCGAAAGGAACCAAGATCTTAGGGTGGTAAACACCGTTTACTTTTGAAAACGATCGTCTGCTTTACGACCGTCCAGTTTCTCGGGATGTTTTTTAGAAATGAACACTACCATTTAGATTTGAAAGGGGTTTAGTTTATAGACAAGGCATTTATTTTCCCGGACGTTGTCAAGAAATGAACAGAGTGTTTAATTATTTAAAGCCTTTAGATTTTACGTCAAATTACCACTTTACCGAGAGCCGTCTAGTAACTTACGGGTGAGTAGTAATGCAATGCCGTTTACTTTTCATGTGTTGTAATTAGTTTGCCCAGTGTCATCTAGAAAACTTGAGGCGTTTGTTTTTGTGTGAAATATTTAAGTTCTGTCTCCCAATTTTTGAAACTATGGTCAGATTTAGAATCTGAGTATTGTGTCTAAAATTTTTGAATGAATTGCATATTTGTTGAATATCGTCCATTCTTCGGTATTGCCGACATCCATTGGGAAGTCGATTTACAATGATTTGACAATTTCCCCAGCGTAGATAAAACTCACATTTTATTTATTAGAAAATAACAAAACAATGGACGTATATCTTGTTACTTATAATCTTGCTTTCTGGGTTATTTACCTGCTTCCGCAATTAATAACAAATGTATTTGTGAATTTACAAATTATTGCGTGCAGTTCTCGTTTCGGCCACAAATGAAACGTCTATTTTGCCATTTATCTAGACGTCTTTGGGGGACTATTTTCGCCAACATTTATTTTTGTATTCCCACCCCTTGGGAATGTTGAAGAAATACCGAAGGAGGGGAATTGTTAACAACTGTAGGTACAGTTTCCCCCCATTGAAACGGGCAAGGACCGCAAATCGTATCCAGTTTATAATTAGTCTTGTCACAATAAAATCGAGTATTTCTAACCAAAAACAAAAGCAAAACAAGCAGGGTCATTAAAATATTTAATATCCAAATACATGGAAAGTTCCTCTACAAACTATATGCACATATATTGCACATAAAACACTTATCAGTTTACCATTTATCTAGACGTCTTTGGGGGACTATTTTCGCCAACATTTATTTTTGTATTCCCACCCCTTGGGAATGTTGAAGAAATACCGAAGGAGGGGAATTGTTAACAACTGTAGGTACAGTTTCCCCCCATTGAAACGGGCAAGGACCGCAAATCGTATCCAGTTTATAATTAGTCTTGTCACAATAAAATCGAGTATTTCTAACCAAAAACAAAAGCAAAACAAGCAGGGTCATTAAAATATTTAATATCCAAATACATGGAAAGTTCCTCTACAAACTATATGCACATATATTGCACATAAAACACTTATCAGTTTACACACTAACATTCGGGATACCTCACATCCAAGTCTAAAACCTAATCCACATATTGTTTACACAATTGTACTTTGTAAAATTTGTATAAAAAAAAAATATTGTATTCTTGAGTGTGTCCAATTTAACAGCGAATTTATTACTATTATGTAACATACTAAGAACCTAACTACATTTTTTGGGCACCAAACACCACCGCCCCCCACCCCTCAGTCAAAAATTTCCCCGTACGCCTATGCCTATTGTTTAATTAATCCCCTAATCCAGACACATGGTTTTGTAGTGAAGTATATTCGTATTGTTATTTAATTGCCCTTATGATTTTAGATTTTTAGAATACTTCACTGATGTTTTTGTAATAAAGTATACTCGTATTGTTTGTTAATTGCTGTTATGATTTTAATGTTTAGACAACATTTAATTGACTTGATATGAAATCTGAATATAAATTATTAGATGGATAAAAAAAAGGTATTTTACAATTACATATTGACAACTTAATGACTCGCCAAAATACAATTGGATTGATATTATTTCGGCATCATAATTAATTTTAAAACTTATCGTTGATTTAATTTCCGCACACAAAATGGAACTAAATATAAGAATTCCGTATAAGCATCAATTTAGAATACCAAAATGCGAATCGAAACACATTGTGGTCAAAACTGTGTAATAAAAAAGGCGATAACTCGGAATGAAACTTATATTTCTGGAATTGGATGGTCTTCAGGTATCCCAAAATGTAGGTCAAATTTGAAAATTTTGAAAAATAGCAAAAATGTCTCGTAAACTACGTTTTTTCAATTTTCGAACGACAAAAGTCCAGGCTGAATTTTCGAAATTAAAAAATGTGAGATAGCCATTGTCCCGGAAAAGAATCAGGGTCTCTGAAAATGTCATTTGTTTGAAAATAGGTAAAGAGTTGATGAAACCACGGCCAATTTTCAATATCGCGAAAAAGTACAAAGTTTGGTCACTTCCGGTATGCGCAGAAGTTTCAAAATTGTTTTAAGGAGTAGCCACCACCTGGTTTCCCAATAGAATATTTGGTTCCAGATCGATATCTGTTTTCGATCATGGAGAAATAGGCTCCCGGGATAAATAATAATAATAACTAGACCTGCAAGCAGCACTGAACCGGCTTTCAGGAATCAGACAGGAAGTGTGTCATACAATAGCTCATTCATCGAGCTACCAAACGATACTTTAGGTGTTTTCATCCGGTCACACCCAACCGTGGAATCACGATGTTTGCAAGAGCACCGATTTTTACTGTTGTTTTTTTTAATTTCGAATATTTTTATGACTACGGTTTCACCGGTGCCACATTACCCTAAACATATGTCACTTCCGGTACCAATGAAACCATCGGATAAAAATTATGGTCACTTCCGGTATGCGCAGAAGTTTCAAAATTGTTTTAAGGAGTAGCCACCACCTGGTTTCCCAATAGAATATTTGGTTCCAGATCGATATCTGTTTTCGATCATGGAGAAATAGGCTCCCGGGATAAATAATAATAATAACTAGACCTGCAAAAGCAGCACTGAACCGGCTTTCAGGAATCAGACAGGAAGTGTGTCATACAATAGCTCATTCATCGAGCTACCAAACGATACTTTAGGTGTTTTCATCCGGTCACACCCAACCGTGGAATCACGATGTTTGCAAGAGCACCGATTTTTATGACTACGGTTTCACCGGTGCCACATTACCCTAAACATATGTCACTTCCGGTACCAATGAAACCATCGGATAAAAATAGGTAGGTACAGTTTCCCCCCATTGAAACGGGCAAGGACCGCAAATCGTATCCAGTTTATAATTAGTCTTGTCACAATAAAATCGAGTATTTCTAACCAAAAACAAAAGCAAAACAAGCAGGGTCATTAAAATATTTAATATCCAAATACATGGAAAGTTCCTCTACAAACTATATGCACATATATTGCACATAAAACACTTATCAGTTTACACACTAACATTCGGGATACCTCACATCCAAGTCTAAAACCTAATCCACATATTGTTTACACAATTGTACTTTGTAAAATTTGTATAAAAAAAAAATATTGTATTCTTGAGTGTGTCCAATTTAACAGCGAATTTATTACTATTATGTAACATACTAAGAACCTAACTACATTTTTTGGGCACCAAACACCACCGCCCCCCACCCCTCAGTCAAAAATTTCCCCGTACGCCTATGCCTATTGTTTAATTAATCCCCTAATCCAGACACATGGTTTTGTAGTGAAGTATATTCGTATTGTTATTTAATTGCCCTTATGATTTTAGATTTTTAGAATACTTCACTGATGTTTTTGTAATAAAGTATACTCGTATTATTTGTTAATTGCTGTTATGATTTTAATGTTTAGACAACATTTAATTGACTTGATATGAAATCTGAATATAAATTATTAGATGGATAAAAAAAAGGTATTTTACAATTACATATTGACAACTTAATGACTCGCCAAAATACAATTGGATTGATATTATTTCGGCATCATAATTAATTTTAAAACTTATCGTTGATTTAATTTCCGCACACAAAATGGAACTAAATATAAGAATTCCGTATAAGCATCAATTTAGAATACCAAAATGCGAATCGAAACACATTGTGGTCAAAACTGTGTAATAAAAAAGGCGATAACTCGGAATGAAACTTATATTTCTGGAATTGGATGGTCTTCAGGTATCCCAAAATGTAGGTCAAATTTGAAAATTTTGAAAAATAGCAAAAATGTCTCGTAAACTACGTTTTTTCAATTTTCGAACGACAAAAGTCCAGGCTGAATTTTCGAAATTAAAAAATGTGAGATAGCCATTGTCCCGGAAAAGAATCAGGGTCTCTGAAAATGTCATTTGTTTGAAAATAGGTAAAGAGTTGATGAAACCACGGCCAATTTTCAATATCGCGAAAAAGTACAAAGTTTGGTCACTTCCGGTATGCGCAGAAGTTTCAAAATTGTTTTAAGGAGTAGCCACCACCTGGTTTCCCAATAGAATATTTGGTTCCAGATCGATATCTGTTTTCGATCATGGAGAAATAGGCTCCCGGGATAAATAATAATAATAACTAGACCTGCAAGCAGCACTGAACCGGCTTTCAGGAATCAGACAGGAAGTGTGTCATACAATAGCTCATTCATCGAGCTACCAAACGATACTTTAGGTGTTTTCATCCGGTCACACCCAACCGTGGAATCACGATGTTTGCAAGAGCACCGATTTTTACTGTTGTTTTTTTTAATTTCGAATATTTTTATGACTACGGTTTCACCGGTGCCACATTACCCTAAACATATGTCACTTCCGGTACCAATGAAACCATCGGATAAAAATTATGGTCACTTCCGGTATGCGCAGAAGTTTCAAAATTGTTTTAAGGAGTAGCCACCACCTGGTTTCCCAATAGAATATTTGGTTCCAGATCGATATCTGTTTTCGATCATGGAGAAATAGGCTCCCGGGATAAATAATAATAATAACTAGACCTGCAAAAGCAGCACTGAACCGGCTTTCAGGAATCAGACAGGAAGTGTGTCATACAATAGCTCATTCATCGAGCTACCAAACGATACTTTAGGTGTTTTCATCCGGTCACACCCAACCGTGGAATCACGATGTTTGCAAGAGCACCGATTTTTATGACTACGGTTTCACCGGTGCCACATTACCCTAAACATATGTCACTTCCGGTACCAATGAAACCATCGGATAAAAATAGGGTCCACAAGCTAACAACGCGTTTTTTCATACAATCAGGGGCCATAATTCAGTAAGTTACGGTCCGAAATGCGCGAATATCGAAAGGAAGCAAGATCTTTGGGTTATAAACTTACATTTCAAGTTTCAACAAAATCGGATAAAAAAATTGTAACCTCTGATATACCATATTTTTACGCTATTTGAGAACGAAGGGCGGCCATTTTATCTGTCAGTTTTTGGCCGATTTTCACGAAATTCGAACTCAGTCGTCCTTAGGGTGTGACGGTGATATAATAATATGATTTTTTAAATCGGATAATAATTATGACCTCTATAGGATCCACAAGCTAAAAATGTCATTTTTCGTACAATCAGGGGCCATAATTCAGGAAGTTACGGTCCCATATGCGCGAATATCAAAAGGAACCGAGATCTTTGGGTTATAAACTTACATTTCAAGTTTCAACAAAATGGGATAAAAATTGTGACCTCTATAGGGTCCACAACCTTGATACACCTTGATATTTTTACGCTATTTGAGAACGAACGGCAGCCATTTTGTCTGTCAGTTTTGGGCCGATTTTCACGAAATTCAAACTCAGCTGTCCTTATGGTGTAACGGTGATATATTAACACGTTTTTTTAAATCGGATAAAAATTATGACCTCTATAGGGTCTACAAGCCAAAAAACGCGTTTTTGCGTACAATCAGGGGCCATAATTCATGAAGTTACGATCCGATATGCGTGAATATCGAAAGGAACCAAGATCTTTGTGTTATAAACTTACATTTCAAGTTTCAACAAAATCGGATAAAAATTGTGACCTCTATAGTGTCAACAAACTTGATATACCATATTTTTACGCTATTTGAGAACGAACGGCGGCCATTTTGTCTGTCAGTTTTGGGCCGATTTTTACAAAATTCGAACTCAGCCGTCCTTAGGGTGTAACGGTGATATATTAACACGTTTTTTTAAATCGGATAAAAATTATGACCTCTATAGGGTCCACAAGCTAAAAACGTGATTTTTCATACAATCAGGGGCCATAATTCAGGAAGTTACGGTCCGATATGTGCGAATATTGAACGGAACCGAGATCTTTGGGTTATAAACTAAAATTTCAAGTTTTAACAAAATCGGATAAAAATTGTGACCTCTATAGGGTCCACAACCTTGATATACCATATTTTTTACGCTATTTGATAACGAAGGGCGGCCCTTTTGTCTGTCAGTTTTGGGCCGATTTTCACGAAATTCGAACTCAACCGTCCTTAGGGTTTAACGGTGATATAATAATACGTTTTTTTAAATAGGATAAAAATTATGACCTCTATAGGGTCCACAAGCCAAAAAACATGTTTTTACGTACAATCAGGGTCCATAATTCAGGAAGTTACGGTCCGATATGCGTGAATATCGAAAGGAACCAAGATCTTTGGGTTATAAACTTACATTTTAAGTTTCAACAAAATCGGATAAAAATTGTGACCTCTACAGTGTTCACAAGCCAAAAACGTGATTTTTCGTACAATCAGGGGCCATAATCCATGAAGTTACGGTCCGATAGATGCCAATATCGAAAGGAACCGAGATCTTAGGGTGATAAACCTATATTTCAAGTTTCATTGAAATCAGATAAAAATTGTGACCTGTAGACTGTTCACAAACAATTGTGGACGGACGGACGGACGGACGGACAGGGGCGACAACAATATACGTCCACATGAAAATGTGGGCGTATAAAAATGCATTTTTTGACAAAATGGCGTCACTTCCGGTGTCAATTTTAAATTGTAATCAATTTGATATGACGCATACTTGCTTTTTGAATCAAATGGTGTCACTTTTCTGAAAATCCAATAATAATTGACTATTTTACAGGCAAAATAACGAAAACAGTGACTTATGCAAAATTGCCCATTTCTAGGTAACTGCTTATATTACGAACTAATTTTAACATACATTTTCTTTGTATGGATTATAGCTACAAGTTTATAAAAGTTACGTAGAAATATTTTAAAATCTGAAAAGACTGAATGGGTTGTAAATAGGTCAATTTTACACCTTTTTTCACCTCTTAATCAAATTTGCTCGAAAATGAAATCGAAATTAAAAAAAACGATCCGAAAATTTTGTGCGCCTTTAAAGGGCACACTCTTTTAGTTATATCAGTTTTTTAAAAAAATAATATTTGCATTCGAAAAATGGTACCTAACTGTCAAAATTGTAGTTTTTGGGAAAATTAAGCCACTTCCGGTGCCGACAGATATCTCTATCGGTAACAAAAAAAATGACAATAGAGACAACGGAGTATATGAACTTTGTTTTATACAAATCGAGCAATAAATAATTAATCTAGGACTGAAAAACTGAATTAGCCAATGGCGGACAAGGAAAATTACTGAGACAAAAAAATTTCACATTTTTGCCCAAGTCAGATGACTCGTTAATTTTGTGTAAAACACGACTAAAAAATATTCATAAAAAAAAAAGTTTTTTGTAAAAATTTAAATTTTCAAATTTCGAATGACAAAAGCCATAGATGAATGTTCGAAATTCAAAAATGTGAGATAGCAATTGTCTCGGAAAAGATTCAGGGTTTCCAAAAATGTGAATTGTTTCAAAATAGGTAAAGAACTGGCGAAACCACTGCGGCTTTTTGATTTATTGCTACCATTCAAAATTCGGCCACTTCCGGTCTGCGCAGAAGTTTTAAAAATACTTTATCAAGTAACCACCACATGGTTTCCCGTTAGAAAATTTTGTTCCAGATCGATATCTGTTTCAGATCATGGAGAAATAGGCTCCCCCGGTAAATAATAATAATAATAATAACTAGAATTGCGCGCAATGCTGAAGGCTTTCACTGTCGCCAAGGCGTCACATGATCACCAGATATATGACAAAAGACTATCCCCACCACTCCCCCCACCCACCAAAAAAACCCACACTCTAGCATAACTCAGAGATTGACCCCTAAACATGCTCCAACTCGTAATAATACACTGTTTTCAATTTTCGATCTCTCTTTTCGGCTACCCATGACAATTAGAAAAATTGTACAAGGGTTTCACACAATACACTACCCAGTAGAATCTCGATTGAGCAAGTTTGAAAAAAATCATTGGCGGCTTTTCCGAGAAACATGGGTTTAAACTTGATCGAAATCGTAAATAACCATACTTTTCAAAGTCCCATAAATTTTTTATTTGGCAATAAAATCTTGTTGCTATAGCACCATCTCGTAGATAATTCACGTGGCTATCATACGACATAATTGATACATCGCATTTGGCGCACAGGCACCCATTTTTCAGAATTTTGTCAAATTTTGAATACCTTTCTTGACCACTTCCGGTGATTAGAGGATTTTCATTTATAGTTCATGGACTGGTTTGGTCCGTTGACTTCATCGTCCCGATGTTTCAGAAATATCGTAGGTGTCGTAGGTGTTCGTACCTTTCTAACCAGGGTAATTTATATAACTGTTAAATTAAACAACGGATAACTCCTACCTCTTAAAATGATTTATATAATTAGTAAATAATTATTATTATCTGATGATTGTTGTTTTGTGACATATATAGTGTAACCAATATATACATTGTACTTTTATAATCAATATGATACTGTGTATTAGTCGTGTTATGATTTGGATTTCTTCAGGCTGACCTTAAAAATATCTTTGTTTCGCCTAACGCGACCGACTAACTAAAACCACCCCCGACTTAAATTATTTTATTGCACTTTTCCGCGATCTTTTTATTTTATTTTGTGTGTCAACCTGAAATATATCACGAGAGTTATTTCCCTTTACTATGGCTATGGTTTGATTCATTATTGAAACTGGTTGATCAAGACGAAATGGTTGCAGACGAATGCACGTCCATTCCCACGAAATGATTCTGCCTCTATGTCTGTGGGGCGTCGTTTTAAACATGACGACGATATTTTCAATATCTGTTTTCGAGAAAAATGAAGGCACAACCCGCACGATCGTTAAAAACGTGTTGAGGGAGTTTCAAACGTGAGTTTGTCGCAATTTGTGTGCGAATCGTGCATCAAGAAAAATCCCCATGTCATTGATTTGTTTGCCAATAAAATAAGACGAATGTTTGCACCCGGAAAATTATCAAGCTGTCAAATTAGCTCTTAAAAAAAAAAATCTGAAAAAAACCCGACCTACCGACCCTTCTCCTCGATTGTGGGTCGGGTTTGGTGAAACAAAGATATTTTTAAGGTCAGCCTCATGCAATATTTGTAAATCGCCAGTAGGAATAAATGTCTCTTATATAGATACATTATGCTGGCTGAAATTTGCGTTGGGTAGGCTAGCCTTTGGGACTGCTCTGTATCATATGGTCTGTCATTGAGTCAACTGTCATTAGCCACTTGTACGTGACAATGAGTAGGGTCGCCTGTCCAACCTCGTGGGTTTTCTCCGGGTCCTCCGGTTTCCTCCCACTACTAAAGACCCCTACGGGACTTCGGAATCGCGTTCATGTCAGCTACTCAAATATGTAACTGGTTCAAAAATTGATTGAATATTCAATCAAATATCGCCAATTTTCTGGTTTCGTGCACGTTAAAGATTTGACGTCTCTAATAAAAATTTAATATTAATTACAGATAGAGACCATACTCAAACAACATCATGACCTAGTTTGTGTCGAGTGGACGTTAAACTCTCTCTCTCTCTCTTTTATATAGAATTCCAACCGCCAAGGGATCTTTTACGGTCACACCAATGTGTACACGGGACTTCGGAATCGCGTTCATGTCAGCTACTCAAATATGTAACTGGTTCAAAAATTGATTGAATATTCAATCAAATATCGCCAATTTTCTGGTTTCGTGCACGTTAAAGATTTGACGTCTCTAATAAAAATTTAATATTAATTACAGATAGAGACCATACTCAAACAACATCATGCCTTTTATCATTGGGGCAATATTCGATACTACTGTACGATAGTACTGCAACCGTTTAACAAATTGGATTTTCTTATAAACAGCGTGAGCCGTCAATTTCTGTCCAGATGATTATACGGTATAAGATAATTTTGACAAAGAAGCAACAATATTAATTCAAAGACTAATTATTACACACAGCAATCAACTATTTCTGTTACAGGGTCACCAAACCCATATTTTGGATAGAAGAAAACACTCATAGTTGAAATAATTTCAGTTCAAATATCATCACTGATAAAAGCACTCTTGAATAGGCTCTATACGTTGAAAAAAAGGTACAGATTGTATCTCCCCTTATGTTTCGCTTAACAATGAAAGGTGCCGTGTTCAATTTTCGATCCCTTTGTTCTGCTACTCCTGAAATTTGGAACTGTTGTACAAAGGTTTTATATAAAACACTACTGATAGGCCTCTCTGTAGAAGAAGTTCCCAAAAAATATTATGTTGACTTTTCGAGAAACAGACCTCTAAAAATGCTCCAAATCGCAAAAATACGACGTTTTCGATTTTCGATCTCTGATTTTCGATCTCTTTTTTCGGCTACCCCTGACATTTCAAAAAATGATACAGTGGTTTCACACAACAGAGTACCCATTAGTCTCAGGAATCAGACAGGAAGTGTGTCTTACAATAGCCCATTTATCGAGCTACCAAACGATACTTTAGATGTTTGGATCCGGTCACACCCGACGGTGAAATCCCGATTGTTGCAAGAGCACCGATTTTTTTACTGTCTTTTTTTTTTTTTAAATATCGAATATTTTTTTGACTACTTCCTGTTTACGGATCATTATCGGGATAGATTTAACAAGTGGTATGGGAACTTAACTTCCTGTACCAGAAGTTTCAGAAAGATCCATTGGACACTTTTACCTCCCTTATACCATTAGAAGCAGATTTACAGATATAACAATTTTTCGACTTTTTCAATATATACTATATTGAGGCTTTTAAATTTGGATTCACACCCCAGATCAGCGTTAGGACTCTAAGTAACAGAAGTTTAAGAAAGGAAATAAGAGTAATTTTTGAGATAAAAGTGTCTGAATAGGCTCCAAAGAGGAAAATACTAGATTTTCAGCATCTCATAATATATTACCTAACCGGCGATTTTTTACCATTGAGATGTCATAAGATTGTCCATTGTTCGGGCTATCCAATGACACTTTAGTTGTTTTGATTCGTTGAAATATGGCGTTGTAATCACTTTTTTCGCAAGATCACCATTTTTTACTTTTCAAGTTTTTTTTCTTCAAAATATCGGATATTTTTTCGACTACTTCCGGTTTTTGGATCATTGTCGGGATAGTTTTAACATGTTGTTTGGATAGTTAACTTTCTGTACCAGAAGTTTCAGAAACACCCATTGAGCTAATAGAAGAGCATTTTCAGTAATTTGAGGATTTTTCAACTTTTTTCCAAGATTGAGACTCTTTTTGGACAACTTATGTTATTTCAATGCTTTTATTTTTGGACTCACGCCATAGTCCACCCATAGGACTCTGAGTAAAAAAAGTTTAAGAAAAAACGTAGTTGTTGTGTTTGAGAAAAAGACCTCTCAAAATGCTCCAAAACGGAAAATACTAGATTTTCGGCGTAACATAATTTATTTTCTAGCCATCTAAATCGTATCATTCAGATGTCATATGATAGTCCATTAATGGGGCTATCCAGCGACACTTTAGTTCTTTTGGTCCACTAAGATCTGGTGAGGAAATCAAGTTTTTGGCACGAGCGCTAATTTTTTTTTAACCTTTTTCTTCATTTTTTGAATACGTCCGGTATGGAGATTATTGTCGGAATAGTTTTAATAACCAATTTGGGCAATTAGATAGCCACAGGGCTCAGTAATGATATATTACATTATCTGATCAGATAAAATGGCCCTGAGAAATCCTATGTTCAAAAGTGCAAAAAAATCAAAAATGTCAAAATATCGAAAATTAAATTTCAATAACTCAATACATATTATACATCGTTAGAATCGTAATTAGGTCAGCTATCTGAATGTGTAACCTTTTCGTAAAAATCTGATTAAATAATAAAATAATATAGCATTTTCCAAAATTT